AAAGTAAAGTACCAAGGCAAGTTTTATGCTGGCATTCAAATTAGCCAGTTTTTGAAAGAATGCATTGTAGAGACAGCAGGTCAGCTATATCCAGCAAGTTAAACAAAAAGGCGGAGCCCTTTAAGTTTTATTCACTAGCACTGGATGAAAGTAACGGCAAAAGGCACTGCTCAGCTCCTAATTTTTATCTGAGGGATTAACGACAGTGCATTTGGAGAATAATTTGTACAATAAGCCTTGCATATTCATGCTTTGCTACCTGTTAAAGGCCAAAACCTTTTATGTAATGGCTTTTATATTAGTTCACACAAACACTCCATCCTTCTGCTCCTTGGGCCCCTTGTCAAAATTTTAGAACACATTGTGGCCCGCGAGTGAAAAAGTTTGTCCACCCCTTGTCTAAATCCATGTGTGACCATTGCCTGCTCTCTAATATTATCTAGCTGTCCTGTGAGGTCAGTCGATACACTGGTAAAGTGATGGATATTGCAATAGCTTGGTTGCGCTGTAACCACAACAGTGGTTAACTAATCAGAATCAGCTTTATTGGTCAGGTGTGCCAGACACACGAGGAATTCGACTCTGGTACAGCGGTTCTCAATGTGCATGTACATATCACCATGCAAGGCAACAGCATGGGGCAAGTACGCAGTAAACCAACAATATAGCATAAGTTGGTAATGTTAGCCTGCTACACCTGTATTTCAGCTCTTCGAACACTTGCTAATGCTAACAAGCTAATGTAGAGCTCATCAGTGTCTCACAGCTGCTAAAGCATCATATGGGATCAAGGCAGTAATCAAGCAAGCAGAGCTTAGCTCCATCTTGGTGACAGCAAAAGTCTAGCCCACTTGCTAATGATAACAGGGTAATATTATAATACTACTAGGCCAGTGAGGGAAGGTACTTGGCAAGTTATGTTACATCTTCTGACGTTTCATGGCACCACAATAACCAGGGATAAGACTGACAGTCATCTTAGTAACTGCAAGTAAACAGGGGGCCTGCTCTGTCCTGTTGCCACTGAATATATTCAACTGCACCAGTGGTTTTGGTCAGCCTTTGTTTGTACCCATGTAGTGGTGTCTATGAAATTACTGGATGTGCATTCTAGGATATGTTTGGTTTGGTGTACCATCCCTTAGTTATAGGCCTAGGCCAGGGTCCTCTCATGATGCGCTGAGCCCCCCCATTTAGTTTTTTATATTCCATCTTTACATGTCACCAACTTTGTGTCTTCTCTCTCCCTGTACTCTTCTAAAGGTATCCCTGGCTCTGGAGCACTACATGTCTGATAAGCAATCACAGGTCCAATTTTACCTGCCCAGTGTTTGATCGTTTGTTGTTGTGTCTTGTTGCTTTCCTTTTCTCTCTCCCCTATCCACTTGTTAGGGGTTTCTTCTATTAAAGTGAGTTTTTCCTTCCCATTGTCACCAAGTGTTTGCTCATTGGAGCTTTGTTGGGTTTTCCTTATAATAATGCAAGGTCTAAACCTTATTATTTAAAGTGCCCTGAGACAATTATTCTTGTGGATTTGGCACTATACAAATAAAATGAAATGAACCCAACCTAGTCCTGCATTCTGAAAAAGTAGCTTATGAAAAATAAAGTGTAAAACAAGGCAGCATTACATGTGTAATATACATTAGAAAATTGCACATTTCCTACACAATGCTCATTTAATTTTTCAGTTTGTGGGCAGAAATCTAAGTTAATGTTTGATGTTTCATTAATGCCAACTTATGTTATGCTTACACTGGTTGTCTCTCTGATTTCCAGGGGTTTACGCTTCCAGCTGTCAACAAGCAGATCAGTCACAGTCTCGTTGTAGATCTCCATATAAGACACTCTGAGAAGGAACTCCTTTTTGGGATACTTTTGGCAAAAGAAAAGGCATTGGTTAGAATAAACAGACATAAATGGCAGCACATTTAAACTATGTGATACAATTCTTACATTTTTAATTGTTTGGAAGACATCTTCCACAGCCAAAGGTATCACTCCAGGCATATGGTTACCCCCCATCATGGTAAAAGTCTTTCCAGAAGAAGTCTGCCCATAAGCAAATATGGTTCCTGTGGATCAAATATAGTATAAGCAAAAAAACATACACCACAGTATCACAAGTCATGTCTCACTCCAGTCAGTTTCAGTTATGTACCATTGTATCCCTCAACAGTGGAAACAACCAGAGGCTTTGCAATGTCCTGGTACAGATGCATGGTGGTTTCGTCAGCAGTGAACACTCTGTCTGCAAACAGATAAGGAATAGCACATTTCTGTTAGTACAACTCAATTCTAAATGACTCCAAAACAAACAAACAAACAAAAAAACCCCACAATATTCAGTAAACACATTGATTAATCATGTGCAAAACATACCAAAACTAAAGCTCTTGCTGGAGTTCCCATCCTCAATCTGATGAATCGATTTTTTATCTGCTTTCCAGAGCAGCTGGATAGGCTCTGCATTCTCTAATGCAGCACTTTCCTCTCTGAAACACATTAAAGATACATGTGGAACCATTAGACTTTTTTCCAACAACATTTTCAAGTCACAAACTGATTTGTGTGCAACATATGGCTATTTATCTGGCTATTTCCTGGAGTCAGTATGGACCAGCATAAACTCAATTTGTATCGAGCCTGATAAATATATTAGTATAAGCAATTCAGTGCAAGATGTCTGCCTTAACATCTGTGTTTATGAAGCTCAAAATGTTTCAGTTTTTGGTGAAATTGTCATTAATGTATACATTAAATTATATGGTTATTATTGAGTTCATAGTTAAAGGCATTTTGTACAGGACTACATTATATTCAGAGGTGTACCTAATAATATCCATTTTTGACCAGGATATGTCCTTTAAATCACACATAAACCAAGTCTGTAGATCTGCCGTCTTTCACCTGCACAATATCGCAAAAATCAGGAGCATCCTGTCTCAAAGTGATGCTGAAAAACTGGTCCATGCATTTGTTACTTCCAGGCTGGACTACTGTAACTCTTTACTATCAGGATGTCCCAATAGACCCCTAAAAAAAGCCTCCAGTTAATCCAAAATGCTGCAGCCAGAGGACTGACAGGAACGAGCAAGAGAGATCATATCTCTCCCATATTAGCTTCTCTCCACTGGCTCCCTGTAAAAGTCAGAATAGAATTTAAAATCCTTCTCCTAACATACAAAGCCCTTAATGACAAGGCTCCATCATATCTTAAAGACCTCGTAGAGCCTTATCATCCTAACAGAGCACTTCGCTCTCAGAGTGCAGGTCTACTTGTGGTTCCTAGAGTCCACGCAGAGCCTTTAGCTATCAAGCTCCTCTCCTATGGAACCAACTCCCAGTCTCAGTTCGGGAGGCAGACACCCTCTCTATCTTTAAGATTAGACTTAAGACTTCCCTTTTAGATAAAGCTTATAGCTAGTTAGTCCTTAGTTATGCTGCTATAGGCCTACGCTGCTGGGGGGGTCCATGATGATCTGAGCTCCGCTCCTCTCCTCTATATGCCACCATTACACATCACTAACTTTGTAGCCCTGGCTCTGGAGCTCTATGCTTCAGATGAGCAGTCACCAGCCACATCAACCTGACCCGTGTTTGTTTGTTGTGTCTTGTTGCTTTTCTTCTTTTCTCTCTCCTCTATCCACTCATCCCAACGAGGCAGAAGGCCGCCCACCAAGAGCCGAGGTCTGTTGGAAGTTTCTTCCGTTAAAGGGAGTTTTTCCTCCCCACTGTCGCCAAGTGCTTGCTCAAGGGGGATTTGTTGGGTTTTACTCCATAATAATAGTGATAACAGTAAGGGCTAGACCTTACTTTGTAAAGTGTCCTGAGATGACTTTTGTTGTGATTTGGTGCTATACAAATAAAATTAGAATTTTGAATTGAATTAATATCCTGATCCTCTCAGGTCTGTAGCTCAGGAGCACAAAACCATAGAAACATCTAAATATAAAATTAAATAAAAATATTAGGGACGATCTTCAGCAGAGTGAATGACACAATTCCAGTCTTGTCTCGAAATCCGTTTCCCCGTGAGGATGTGTTGTTAAAACTGTGTCCACTCCCCTTCTCCTCCGTAAGTATGGTTAGCATAAGGTTAATATTCAGGTTAGTGGGGGAAAAACACGTCTCGACGGGGCAAACAGCACCGGTGTTAAAGATCTGGTACCCCGTCGAGACACGTTTACCGTAATCTAACTTAACCTAAATCTCGATGAGGGAACAGAGTTCGACACAAGACTGTACGGGGATAAATTAAGGCTTTAACTTGAATAGGTTTTATTTGAATACAGTACATTATGACTTACACTACAAGACTACGATACACAATTTTATGCTAAACAAGTACTCGTTAACGTCCGAATTTCAGATAAACTAAGTATGGATTACTAACTTGTGTGTGGCTGGCATCGGTTCTGTACCGGAAACAAATTCCTTGTGTGTAAAATACTTGGCCAATAAAGGTGATTATCGTTATCCTTAAATTTAGCTAGCTGGTTAGTAAGGGTAACAGTTACATTAGCATTGGGTAATTTAATGTTTTAACATAATATCCTAGTAACATACATGATTTTGCGCAAAATTTACCTTGAAATAAGAGGACGGACTCGTATACAGACTTTAACAGCCGACTCTTCCATCATTTTATACTTGAAATACAGTCGCCAAATCTCAAATGACCAAAAAAAGGCACTTAATGAATGCCTAGCCCCTTGTCTATCTTTTGAATGTTGCCGTTTAGTTTCCATTGGTCGGCGTCACGGCTGGACAGTTCCATGTGGGTTTGGGGTAACAAACTGAGAATTTGTGCTTGTGCTTCAAAAATTAATTTTAACAAAATGTTTAGTGACACAGACTTGGATAATGGGCCATGAAAACGTTATTTATTTTATTTTAAAATAAACCAGCACCAAAATATCAAGCTAATGTGGTCGCGCCCGACTGTGACGACACAAAACGCGACCGGCTTCATTGGCATCATCACACCGCGTCTTGTATGGGAAAAATCAACACTTGGGGAAGGCAGTCGTGTGCGATCACATTTCAGTAGATGTTAACTGTTTATCGAAGTCTAAAGGAAGGTGAACGGTTAGATTATGTGTTATTTTCCTGATAAGGCGTAGTTATAAACAACTCATTTGGGCGTCTTATCTCACAATTGTAATGTCTCTCTTTCTAGTGAACAGGTAGGCTTGTTTTTGTACTAACTCACATCATTCTTATAGATAGGTCACATTACTACATTCTGGAGTAATGTGATCCTGGAGTGTCAGAGTTGTATTTGGCTTTTGAATGGTTTTTCAATAATAAGCGTTCGTATCAGAGAGCAGAAGTATTATTATTATTAGTTGGTCAAAAGTTAAAGACCTTAAAGGTTCACTAATATACATACTATATATGGTATCAAAACCTGCCAGACTTCTCAAGGTCAAGAGGTCAAGAATCTTTATTTTCATTATGCATAGCACAACAGATTTTTTTCTGACAGCTCTTGGCTTAAGACACATTATTTACATAACACAAAATTGTATAAGTCAATATAAAAGTATGAACAAATAAAGAAGGATGTATGGGACCTAATCAGGTCAGCAGCATGTTGGTAGAAAAAGAGTGTAGTAACATTATAAAGTGCAGCTCAATGCAAATCTCAGTCTTTAGGAAGAGGTGTGAGCATGGGTGTGTGTCTGCAGAGGTCCAGTGTTCTGTCTGTGTCTGCCCATGGGGGAGAGGTTGTGTTGGGGTTAGGGGGTGATTGATTTCACAGCTCTGGAGAAGAAGCTGTGTCTCAGTCTTTGTTTTAGTCTTTATGTATCTGTACCTTTTCCTGGAGGGAAGAGGCACAAACAGACCATTGCCTGGATGGGTGGGGTCTGCAGCAATCCATCTGGCCCTCCTCTGGATCCGGTCAGTGTATAGTGAGTCCAGATCCAGAAGAGGACCCCCTACAATGCCCTGAGCTGTTCTCACCACCTGGGTCAAGTCCTTTCTGTCCTGTGCAGTGCAGCTCCCATACCACACTGTCACAATGAGACGGAGGATGCTCTCTACTGTCGCTCTGTTGAAGTTTCCTGAGGAAGAAGAGCCTTTGCTGGGCTTTCTTCACCAGGTAGGATGTGTTCAGAGACCAGGTCAGGTCAGATGTGATGTGGATGCCCAGGAACTTGGTGCTATACACTTGCTCCCCCACCACCTCCCCATGTATGAGAAGAGGAGCATGTTTTGTCTTCCTGGACCTCCTGTAATCCACAATGACTTCCTTAGTCTTGGTGTTCAGGACAAGATTGTTATCTGAACACCACCATGTCAAGTTCTGGATCTCCTCTCTGTAGTAAATCTCATTATTGTCTGAGATGAGACCCACTATGGTGGTGTCGTCTGTGAACTTCACAACTGTTTTTGTGGTCATGAGTAAACGGAGTGAAGAGAACTGAGCTGAGCACACAGCCCTGTGGTGTGTCTGTGTTCAGGACCAGTGTGGATGATGTGCAGCTTCCGATTCTCACCACTTGAGGCCTGTTAGTGAGGAAGTCCTTAATCCAATGACACATCATTGCAGGCATTCCCAGATTGTGCAGTTTCAGTGCCAGTTTGTTTGGTATTACAGTATTAAATGCCGAACTGAAGTCA